GAACGTGCTGTCCAAGAAGCTGATGATCTCCAAGGGCAGCCTGGATAACATGAACCTCTTCCAGATCATCACCATCATGGCCTTCTTCATGCTGGCCCCGGTGACGCTGCTGATCGAGGGGGCGCCGTTCCTCCCGCACAACGCGGCCGCGCTGGTGGGGTCCCGCGGGTGCTGGGTACATGTTTGGCTGCTTTTTTTGGCCGGCTAGGTTTGGGCTGCTGGGTTTGGATGGTGGTGGGGTGGCACTTGGCAGGGGCAGGGGGGAGGTTGGGGAGCAGGAGGGAGGGGTAAGGGGGAACCAGGAATCCTGCGGCCCAGCTGGGTGGCGGGGCTGCATTTGAGGCGCCGCGTCCGAGGTGGGGAACCCCACACCCCGATGCAGCCGGAGCGCCTCACCTGCATCGGGGCGGGGCGCCCCACCGAGCGGCGGCGGGCCCCGCGGCGCCGCAGGCTCGAACCCCCGGGCGGCCCGCCGCGCTGCCGCCGGCCCCCGCGGCCTTCCCCGCACCCTGACCCCTCGCCTCCCGACTGCAGTAAATGCCAACTTCTGGTGTCGTTGAACCTCAACTGTTGTTGAAACTCAATTAGACGTCTGTTCAGCCGTCGTTCCTCAAGTTGTCGACTCTCAAGCTTTCAATCCCAGCACTCCGGCCCCTCCCCCCACTACACACCACGCCCACAGGGCCTGACCGGGGACAAGGGGGTGGCGCTGCTGCAGCGGGTGCTGGCGGCCGGCCTCTGCTTCCACGCCTACCAGCAGCTCTCATACATGATCCTCTCAAAGGTGCGCGGCGGGGAGCGGGAAGCTGCCGGGAAGCCGCCGGGAAGCCGCTGAGGGAGCGGCTTGACGTTCCCATTGCCGTCTGGCTTTTCAGGCTGGCTGTGCACTTGCCCGCGTCGGCCTTGCCGGCTGGCCGTAGCCCAGTTGACAGGGGGCCGCCCTGGCTGCTTGGGGCGCCCGTCCCTGCCCTCTGCTTCACACCCCTTGAAACCACACCCATGCTCGACCTTATCACCTCAGTACCTCGTCACATTACACATGCGTGCGCCCCACCCCCCCCCCCACACACACACACACGCACACGCATTCACACGCGCACGCACTGTTACATACACACGCACACGCAGCACGCACACCCAACTACACCCGCTTGCTCTCTCTCTCTCCCTCACCCCCCCCTCCAGGTCAGCCCCGTCACCCACTCCATCGGCAACTGCATCAAGCGCGTCGTAGTCATCGTCGCGTCGGTCCTCATCCTGCGCAACCCAGTGTCCACGCAGAACGCCATCGGTGCGGCCTCGAGTCAAACTATGCATTCTGAGCTGATCTGACAAACAACCTCGTAACCCTGAATAATGCCGATCCTGTTCTTTCTTCTGAGTGTCGATGTTGGGAAGATTGGGGAGGTGGATGCGGTTTGTGCCTTGGAGTTTTTATCGTCGGACTCGATAGGGGTTTGTTGGGTTGGAGCGCCTCTATGCGTCCACCAAGCTCCCACGCCCGAGGCGCCGCCGGGCGCTGCTGCACACGGGCGGCCCCCCGGGCGCCCCGCCCCCCGCGCCGCGCCTGCCCTCCCGGCCTCCTCGGCGGCCTGGCGGCCCCGCCCGTCCGCCCACCGACACGCCCGCCTCCCCCTTGCCGCGCGCCCCCGCCGCCCTCGCGCCCCGCAGGCACGGGCCTGGCGCTGTTTGGCGTGTTCCTCTACTCGCAGGTCAAGCGGCGCTACAAGGACCCCCCAGCGGCGAAGACAGCCTAGCGCGCCGGCCGGCGGCCGGCGGCAGGCGTGGGCGGCGGCCCGGCCCGGGTGGCGCGGCGGCTGCCGCGAAGGGTGCGGGCGGCGGCTCCCGCCTGTCGTCGCGATGATTCAAACGGCTCCGGCAGCTGCGGGGCAGCTATGCAGGCCCTGGCACACGCGACCCAGATTTAGGGTACCCTGCTGCCCGCAACGCCTGCCTCTTGCCTGCTTTGTGGGTCCCTTTGCGCCCACGCCCCGCCACTACTGCGGCGTGCAGGCGCCTACCGCTGCGCGCCGGCTTCTTATCCCATTGCCTTCTTTCACGAAATCTAATCCTTTGCTAGCGCAGCAGAGACTCCTCGAAACGCATCCGCCCCGGGAGCCCCGCTGCTGTGCGCCGCGGGGCCTGCAGCTGCACTCCCTCTACAGCACACATGTGACGGGCGAGGGCGCCCTCGCCAACTGTGCATGATACAGACCGCTCTCCACCCTCCTCCGCCTCCCGTTTCCGCCTATTGTTGGGGCACCCATCGGCTTCTTTGTGCTTGAATCGCGCTGCCTGGGCTTGGCGCGCGGCGGCGCCTGCCTCTTGACAGCCAAGTAAGCTGCTCGCAACTCCCAAGGCGAGGGCCGAATCCGGGAGGGGCGTGACCTCGGAACAGGCAGTGCTGGCGGCCCCGAGCCGAGGGTGCAACGGGGCGCCGTGCCCCGCGGCGGGCCAGTGGGGGGAG